TATGATGAAGCAGTTTTCAATTCAATTCATGTTAAATTCATTTTTAAAAAAAAAAAAAAAAAAAGCGTTTTGATCTGGCAAATCTGAAAACCCTGGAGAACTGCAATGTCCCAGTTCTTGCCTCAGCAACTATGTCACACTATTCCCTGAACAGTTTGTTGTTTAACAACATGACTAATGAATACTCGCCACTACAAAAGTTTTAGGGACATTTTGTATTGCACTCTAAATACCCATTGATCTGTTCAACGTTAAGCACATAGCATTATGAATTTAAAGCATGAAATTGGGTCTAAACGTTAGTTAAATTTATGGAATGAGATTTTCGAATACTTTCACAAGTTGTTGATTATAAACCCCTAAACTGATGTTGTGTCACTTTAGGATTCCATGACAAGGGACTATTAATAACCTAATTTTTGGATTCGATAACATCCGTGTACTGGAACACTAGCAAGAGATCCCAAGATTTCCAGTACACCTTCTGTCTTGTTTATTCAGGAGCTATCTTAAAGACTAGTATGTCAAGTAGTTTATTATTTAAATAGAAAAACTAAAACAAACAAGACAAAACAACAATCAATAAGCTTAAACCCTCGGTCAGCACTCATCCCAACATAATTTACTCTGTTTGAACCCCCATTAAACTTACAAAAGCACTTCCTTTCCTAAAACGAGCATTTTGAGAATATGGCAAATTAGCCAAATATGGATGGTGCAGATACTTTGGGCTGCATCTGATATTTTAAACATTGAATTACAATAAGTTATCTGAACATAAGATTTTATTCAAAATCCCAATGACTTCGCCTCACAGGTAATGTTCCCCATGTTGAGGAAAGACCCCAAAAAAGAGAATACCTAGTTAATAACCAAAAAGCAATATATAATATGTGGGAACAGCTCACTTGATAATAGTAAATGTCTCACATAGTAATAGATTGAATAGATTGAGATACCTAAATCTTTTTGAACATGTAGTAAACAATTAATAAGTACATGTGTAGCTAGCTTTATGCTCGTCCGAAAATAACACACTTAATTAGAATATCACAATATCTCACAAGATAGACTTATAAATTCAAGATTATAGTAGATCGCTCAGCCCTATCGCCTCAGCTCCCTCACCTCCTTTTGACAGGAAACGAAGTTGCTTTCCATACAAAAATACAGCAGGCCAGTGTTATATCGTGCAGTACATTCCATAGGCAAAATGTGAATGCGGTCGGCGCAAAACGGTGTAGTAATCGAAAGTGTATATAACAGGCTTAATAGTATAATATTATGAATTGACCTCTCCTTATGTTTCACTCCTCCCTCTCAGTCATCTCCCATCCAGTTTTTATGTGTAGCCTAATGCTCTCTCTCCTGCACTCGCTCAGTACATAGTTTTGTACTAGTCAGTAGGAGTATATAAAATGAAATTATTTCTTTGAAGTCTCTAACACATCAAGAAAAAAGGCTCATCCCAGATCCTAATCGCAAATCCACCCAAGCACGTGCAAGGCCCTATATAGTCTCAATCAGAGAAGCTCCAGCTTTTATCAACTCATTTACAAAAACGGAATATCAGCTGAGAATTATATACGACAGCTCGCTACATCTCATTTAGTAGACTTTGAGGCAGTGAATAACAGACCGCCAAAAATAATAAAAGTAAAAAGTAAGGATTTTAGGTGATTCTGTAGTCATCGTCATACAACACGCGAATCCTTTGGGTCTTTCTGCTTTTGATAATTCAAGGCTAACAACATTTAGAAAAAACACTCGCTTTGACTGAGGCCTGTCATAATGTGTCTAGTGTCCTCGCGCGTTCGTTGCTATTTTCAGCATCCACGTCGCTACCAGGTTCAGTGCTACAGTCACTACTATAGTAACATCATATCTACACATGCTTGACAGAAAAGGATGAAGTACGTCTGAACTTCTTGGAGGTGCTATTTGCCTGTTATATCACCCTTATACATAGATAATACGACCCCAACATCTTATGATCTGGTTGAACTTGGTCGCATTCATGGTCTGTTCTCATAAATCTTGTGAGTATAGATTTATATCTATGGTATGACCAATTTGAAATAATTGAAGTCCTGGTTTAAATACTATTCCTTCTTAGTTATTGAAACATCTTGTTCTCAGTCTATAGTTGCACCTGCATCCACTTGTTTAAACTTAGTGTTTAGACTCCTACAACTTATTTTAACCTATACATCGTCTATTCCTGATGTGCTACTCTGGTAGATAGTTCACGCGCACAATTAACACTATTGATAATGATTGCAAGGAGATACATTACCTCACAGCATCTCACCCTTCAGTTATTAGTATTGCAGAGCGAAGCTTAGGTCTTACGGAGTCTAACACATTATCTTCATTGTATGACTCTATCATTTAAATACAGGTTAGAAGTTCTCTCGCATGAGTGCGGTTAGTCCGATAACGTGGATTCACTGGGACTCGCTTCACCCCACTATTTATTGGGTCCATACAGACATGTCCTTAGGATAAGTTTTTACTGTCTATTTGGTCTCCACATAGCAGATAATACAGTCTTGTACGCGTGTGCGTGGACTATAGAAAGAAGTGATTGGAGGAGGATCTAACATGCAGTTACAAATCAGAGCATAACTTTAATAACCTATTCCGACCTGATCGATCTTCTGATTAGTAACAATTATAGGAATTAATATGTAATGCCGATCAATAGTTAGATTGAGTTTTTCAAAACTATTTTTGATTGTCCCAAAATCATACTATAGGATCGCCTCGCCTTGGTCGTCGCTTCCAATATGCTGTCTTACCCGCTGTTCTCCTATTATTTCTCAGTCTCTTTTTGTAAAATTACTTTCTTATATTCGGAACGTCATAGATTTATCAGAGAATATCACGGGTGTTATCTCTGATTCCCTCCAATTACCAGATACCTGCTTCTGCGCATTAGGAGTCTGTGTGTCTACCACCTAATCGGAGCTTGCCTCCGATTGGTTTTGGATTTTGATCATTGAGGCTCCTTAGGAACCTCACTGTAGATATAAAATATCAATGTGTTTTATTATTACAGTGGATATCTCTCGCAAGTTGCACTTGATTCAAGGTTTGAAATATACACTTAAATGGAAGCCCTGTGTGGACATTGGGACTGATTTTATATCATATTCAGTTTCGTGGAACCAATTAGAGTGATATAAATTAAAGAACATGAATGGCTCTTCAGTAATAATTGAGGGACCTTCGCCATGCCCAAGTCTAGCTGTACCTGAAGAGAAGATGAGAAAAATCCAACTATAAGGTTGATTAAAATTCGAAGCGTTCATACAGGAGTGTCCAATGAGTGACGATTGTGGTGTATCAAAAGTCATAGAAACCTCTCACAATTGTCGCTTTTATCCGCCTGCTCGATGTTTTGTGGATCCCTCTCATGCTCTCTGACTCAACACCACGACTGATCCTTTCTCCTGGACATGTTTGCGCCTTCGGCCTCCCCCCAGTAATCGATTATTCCGCGGCAAAAAGGACATAACCTAGATATTGGATCGATATGATATATCATGGCCATAACCAAATTTCTCGTCAATGCTGGGTGAAGTATGACTATTTTTGTTGTGTGCATGAGGCCTGCAGTCATTCCCTCTATTCTTAACTGAGACATGCTCTTGTCCTCGGAAGCACTACTCTAAATACGACAACTCTTCGGGTTTTGACCACCATCGGCTTTCACCAACAATTAGGAGAGTAAGTTTGATAATTGGTCTGTCTGTTGTAAATTCATTTAATCATATCGTGCTCATGTTTCTCGCAGTGGTTTTCACAAGTTGGACTATCTCCGTGATATCTTGACTCTCTGGGGCCTTGTTCATCTGCATCACAGAGAAGTATCACTCTTCCTTTACTTCTCTCCAGTGAAATGAGTGCTATCTTGATGGTGAGCCACGTAATCTCGGTCTGACAACGACACCAGTTCTCGGATTATAATTGGAGTTACTTCATCATACTCGGAATTGTGAGTTACTGGCAGCCATCCATACTCTTTGCGCATGATTCCTGTAGGGCACGGTTCGTTTTCTTTTCATTTAGTTGCCTCGGTACTGGGCTCTATGCTCATCATAGACAGGGTGTGTTCCATGTTATACATATAACTTAAATAAAAATATCCCTTGTATATGTGCAGTGTCGAATACATGATCTCAATTAAGTCGCCCACCCTTATGGGTAGAAGGTTTTTGACTAGATGCCGTATACCGCGAAAATGATGTAGGCGAGAAACAAGTAGGTTGACTATATAATAGTCGGATAGTATTCACAATCTACATTATTTTCAAATTCGTGTTGTTCTCAATTTGTGAGCCCAGCAGATGCACAACTTACGCAGCTATATGGTCGGTGGTCAGATAGACGTTGTATCATATATCTATTATAGATTGACTCGCACCACTGTATAACATGACCGCTTTAGTGACCTTCACGGAAAGGAACACGCTCTATGGGATGTTTTTTTGTCCACGCTCACCTTAATATATAACAACTGCGTATATACGACTCATTTAAAATTTATAAAACTAAATACATAAACGATTGCTCGTTCTCTCTAGATTGTGAGTATATCACTATTGTACAATGTGATATGAGCGAGTTCAAAAGGGCTCTCTCGCAACCGGAAGGGCATTTCATGGCGACACAGGGGGATAAGTGGTTTAACTACTAGACCAAATGCAGCTTTTTGACGGATGCCAAGTTTTGACGCATGAAAGAAGTTCTCATGATACGCTTCTTTCGCTTCTGATATTTGAGGGTAGCACAAGATCGTTCACAGACTAGTTTGATAAATAAATCTGAGCCACTTGTGGTTCGATGACCAACAGCACGCAAAAATAACCAACTGTAGGTTCTTGGAGCGCCCCTCCCTTGTGTATTTGCGGATAGGGCAATGTTAGTCTGGTTGGCTCAGATGGCCATGCGCTTTCTTGCGGATGCCAAAGTTTTGCGCATGAAAGAAGTCTCTCATGGATACGCTACTTTCGCTTCTGATATTTGAGGGTGAGACAAACGTTCAACAGGCGAACCAACAGCACGCAAAAACGAGCACTGTATGCGGAGGGCAATGTGGAGTCATCCACAGCCCGGTGGATACCACAGAGGTTTTTGCTTTTCATTTGGACAGAGTGCTGGGGCTTAATAGGACGTTGCCAGCTGTAAGCAGAAAGTTTCGCTTTTTATACGGTAGGTCATCAAGCACATGGACAAAGTTTTCTTTTTTGACACTTGTTAAAAATATACGGTTTTGTTTATGGTTATTCTAACTACATTGCCTGGTTTCATCATGCTAAGAATACTGTGCAAATGTCACTACAGTATCTATTGATATAGCGACAGAAACTGCAACCTACAGATTAGCCATACCATAAAAACTGTTTATTTGTTACCTTAACCCACTAATGGGGTCTATGTGAAATACAGATTCATTCAGGCTTGGAATCAAGAAGAACCTTGTTCTTTGGGGGTGGACACCAAAACGTCACCTGCACATTGTGTCCTCGTGGATGTGATATTTTTTTAAGTCATTGAGCAAGACTACCTAATCCTAATTCATATTCAATGGAAAAACATTATTCACATTGCTCATTGTCATTTTATAACATTAATAGTAAAGAAGGAACAAAAACTGAGGGAATACACATTTTATACACATATTCAGGGGAAGAGAGGACCAAAAAGTAGCCTACCAACATCCTCCTTTTTCATAAATAGCGCAAATAATGTATTTTACATGATGACGTCACAAAGTGTCAGCCCAAGGGTTTAAACAGATTTTGGGGCCATATTCAGCTAGTGACAGGATACCTCTGCCCTCTTTCCTCATTTTCTTGCATAACCATTTTTTTCCATCTATGGGAAATGTCTGTCTCTTTTTATTTTTAGCATAATACATTTAGAAATATTTTTACATGTCTATGAGTTAGTTCATTATTTGGTCTTGGGGTGCAAATATGATAATCGGTGTGTGGACAGTCTTCATCATTGCAGGGAATAAGTTCTGGTAACATGAGTGTAAAAAGTGTTTATAGACTTTTTCTGGTTAATAACAGAAACAGCTGCTAAAATCTAAGCATGTAATTATTCTTTCTTCCCTCTTTAGATGGGCAGTCCTGTCCAGTTGTGTCATGGGATGCATCTCTATACCCAGCAGGCCTTGCTGCAGGTTTGACCAGTTTGAAGTTAACATGGGGGGAGTACCAGAACTCCCTTAAACAGAGATGTTGGCAACAAAACATCAGCCCAAAGTCTGATTCTGGCTGCTCTGCAATTCATCACTATGAATGGAGCAAACTTGCTCTGTTTGACTTTTTGTTACAGGTAACTGTTAAAGAAAATGTGCTCCAATATCTGATTAAGAAAAACAATTCTCAGTGGTATTGTCATTTGGCTGAAGAGAGCTCTTGCTTCCTGTATGGGAGGCCTCAGTAAATCACATTTTATGAGAACTACTCATTTTACCCCATCATCATGACAGAGAAACCAAAGTAGACAGACGAATCTTAAAATACTTATTTGGAAACACTGACAATCTTTATAAGTTAAATTGTCTGTTGAGGTCATGGTGGCACAACTTTGATCATTCACATATATTTCCTCATTGTTACAAAACATCTTGTCAAAGACATTAGTGAACTGAAAAGAAACTCCTCTCTTATCACAAAAGTACTTTTTTTAAATTCTGACTTAGCCTCTCATTTTGTAGATCAAAATGCCTGCACACCAAAGTTAATGTAACTCATACAGTTCCTCTAACAACAACTAGCATGACATGAAGGAAACTGAGAATGTCTATATATATATTTTTGCCTTGTTTTATATTTCAAATAAAATAAATTTTAAAACCAATAATAACTTCCAATGAGTTTTGTCTAACTTTATTATTATTGATATTATTGTTGTTATTATGGCAATTGAGTTTTCTGTTAAATGTAACACACCAGCACCCTACAGTGTTAAGGCAGACGATCGTCTTAGATATTTGAATAACTAATAAATTCTAATTTTTCATCAAGTCAAGCTACAAATAACATTTGTATTTCTGTGACAGCTCTGGAAAAGCTCTGTTTTATTACTATTAGCTGCATGGATGCTTGTTTGCAAGGTAATAAGGATCTATTTAATTTTTGTCCAATTCAAAGCCTTACAAATGCTTATTCATCCAGGTTACCCTAAACCTCAGGCCTTAGAAAACCACGCCTGTGAGCAGCATTTAGTCCCATCTAAATCTGTGTGACATTTCAGCTTGTCTTACTCTGACAGCACTGTCTGAAACCTCCACAACTCAAGTGATTTCACATAAAGGATTAAGAATGGATGAGGGCTGTAGCTAAATATAGGGTTGTCATTCCCTGTGGAGAAGCCTGATATACTTAAGTGAGTTTCCTGTACAGTCATGTGACTCAGCAGTCTACATGACTAGTTGATGTTGATGTCCAGTAAACTAGTGGTACAATAGAGTCAGTGCAATTGCCAGCCCTCTAGGTTTGTGTGCTTTCACTGCCAGCTGAATGTTATCTATTCATGAAATTATTATTTAGATCATGATAAAGAGAGATCATCAGAAATGCAAAGTAAACACATTCAGAGTAAAACTGTGCTTACCTTTGTCATTAAAAATATAAAAACGCAAAAAAAAAAAACCATTGAATAAGAAAACTCTGTGAATGCCACTCTGAACTGCACTCTTAGTCTCAAAATATCATCTCCAAACATTTAATGAAGAAATGTGTGAACTGTATTTTTAGATTAACAACCGCCTGGACCAGGGTTGCTGTGGGTTCAGGCCTCGGCAGCAGGATGTGTGCATTGAACTGGGTTACCATGCTAAATGTCAAGATGCTAACCACATACAGCTAGAAAACATCATCTACAGGAGCCACAACCCCAGACACCTGGTCTTCACCAACAACAAGGGATTCTTTGACCGTAATGAGGACAACTTGGACTTCAGGCTGTTGGCGGGAATCAAAGAGTAAGTTTGGAGCATTAACATGAATTAATAATTAATTAACCTGTTTAAATATATAATGTTTTAAAAAAACATTATATATTCCTACTACTATATATTCCTAGCCTAAAATACAGCTTTAATCCCTTGGCCATGCAGTGTTGAATAATGAAATAGATTATATGATTTGTTTATTTGGTAAAGTTTGTGCTTCAACGTAAATTTCTACTTTTTCGTTAGTCCATTCTTAACTTGGCAGAAGACAACCTGATTGCAATAACTGGTTTGAAAAAAAAATACTTTTGGGACTCTTGAAGTCTTCGGGAAAACAGCTTTCTATCTTGATCTTACTAAACAGTTTCTCAATCGTTTTCAGTTTAAAATCGTTTAAATTACTTTTTGTAAATTTAGGTTATCCAGGTCATTCATTGGCTAATTATTTATAAGTCTCAAGTCAGTGCAGTTTCACAGTTAGACCTACTTGCTTGTGGCTTTCAAATAGGCCTTCAGAAATCAGTTGGTGATGTCATGCTAGCTACATCCATTTTTATACTTTCTACATAGCTAGTGTTAGCTGATAAATTAGCACTCATCCATTTATCCATATAAGGTGACTTCTGGTTCATCAAAATGCGAAGTGAAAAACAAATGGGCAACTTCCATATTGTTTGTGAAAGCCAACCAGTGTATATTTTGTGTTACCTATATATAATATCTCAATTTGTTTGAAGATCTGAAACATTTAAATTGACGAACATACAGAGAAAATAGGAAATCCGTAAGGGGGCAAACACTTTTTCCCACTGCTGTACATTTGAAAATTTACATACCTCTGTCTTACAATGGCCTCCAACACCCTCCAGCCCTCTCTGATCAATGCTTGCTGGGCTTAAATTCTAGCAGACAAGAATACAGCTTAATTTCCTTAAGATGGAGAATTTAGTCATGATATGTGGCAGTTGGTAGCTCACAGTGAACAAAAAGCTTTTAGGGTGCATTTAACTAAAGAAAAATTGTGCTCCTCCTGGACACCGAGGCATGTAATTGAAGGAGACTTTTGTCAAAACTTGAACATTATTTTTTAGGCTCCATGTTTTAAGCAAAGAGCTTTAGGTTGAAAAGAAATTTGTCACAATACTGTTATGCTCGTAAATGGGATTATCACACAGAGAGAATCCTATCCCTTTGGTGTTGTAAATCTTGGATAGGCTACACAGTAAAATGCTTTGTCAGATTGTTAAGGCACTTCCATTTCCACACACAGAGTTTGTAGAGTATGTGATAACACAGTAATGATCTCTTAACAAGTGTTACGAAATCAGTTTCACCCCGGTTCTTTTTATTCCTCGGGCATCCAGAGACGGCACCGGAACTCAGTAGTCATTTTCACACAAAACCTTTATTCATCTTCATTCATCTGCATTTAAGCAAACTAAACTGAACTGAACTGGAC